TGTAGTGTAAGGGGACGACGAGATTTTAAACGGGGGTGTGGGGGGGGTGGGTAAGAGTTGTAGAAGAGGGAGGGATTAAGGGAGAGGGCTTAGAAGGGAAAAGGGAAAAGAGGGGGAGAATAGAGTAGAGGGGGGGGAAACGTACCCCAACGGTAGAAGTAACAAACTTTGCGGCGCCCGTGGCGCCCTCGTCGGACGAGGAGGTGTTGATGGGCATTTTTTCTTTTCTTGTTATCTTATTAGCGTCTGTCGTAGACGTAAAGTTGACGTCCAGTATGTACGAAGGTATATAAACTAGGTAATGGTCAGGTTTGTCGGCCACTGGCTGCGTTGCGTAGACACAGTGAGTGGCTCGATGGGTGGAATGGGTTGAAGTATTCATGGACATGGACACGCAGACTCGCAATGATGTCATTTCTTCTTTTCCATCGACCGCCCAACTTGTCCTTGGGGGCCATGCATCCTTGCTTGACTGGCCTGGTCCGGTGAAGAATACCTAGACCCCTGTTCCATGTCACCTCCAACCATGGCCCAACACGAGAGAAAAGATGTGTGGGTGTCGGCGTGGGATTGTGGCTGTGCACAGAGTAAGGTCTACATACCTCTGTGCGCATGTGCACCGTTCGTTGTATGTGTGTTTGCGAGACAGGATACAAGGTCACGGGTAATACTTATTTGGATACTTACTCCGTACCTGGGAAGATATTGTCCGAAAGATTTGTTTTCTGGCTTTGCATTGCGGCGCTGCGTGCAGTACTACTAGAGGACTCCACTATCTAGTATCTACAAAGTATAGAGAGGGGGGTTTTAGGCAAGTACCCAACAGATTCACTCTTTCGTCAGCCACTCTCCGGGGTATGGTCCCTTGAGCAGAGCCGTGATGAGTTTATTCCCGCTGAACCTCTGGACTCCTGATATGCGAGGTACAGATACAATGACGGTTCATAGCCTCGGTTGCGCATAAAAGGAAACCGCCTCCATTTCCACATAATCGTTAAAATCTTCTGGATTGAAGCGCGTGTGCGTCTCTCTCAATCATACTAACCCCCCTGCGCCGTGTTCAATGTCGTCGCCTTGCTGGGGTTCGTCCATGTCCACATTCTCATTCTCATCCCAGCCCGTCCGCAAGGGCGCCGCCTCCTTTTCAGGATCGACGCTTGTGATGAGGCTGGATTTCCTGTGCCAGAATCGTCCAAGTGGATTCCACTGCCTTTTCTGTCCGCCACGCCTCGAGTTATGCCACCGCCTCCATAAATACCAGCCTAGACACGATGTGACAACAATGGCACAAGTCGAGATGACAAAGTGATAAGCAACGTCCGAGGGTGCATTTCCGACCCTTCGGTCTACCACCTCAGTGTAGCCCAAGATGTGGCCTTGTCGATCCACTGCCGCGACGCGGAGATACCGTGGCATATCGGCCTTGATGGAAAACGACGTCTCAAATCTCTCCTTCCTGATATATGTCAAGTCCTGGAACGTGTCGTCCTCGGTCGCGTTCACACCCAATTGTATCTCTGTCTCGACCTCAGCACGGCCCTGGAGAACCCAGATATCCACCTCTGTCGCACCGTTCCAACTCACATATACTCTCTTGTCTCGCGGTCTGAGGTACACACTCGGCGGTGTTGAGGGCATCCCAACCCAAGACGAACTTCGAAAGGCGCGGTACGACTTCACCCATCCAAACCCCCAGAAAATTGACGGCGCAATGTGGACATCGCACAAGACTTGGCCCTGCGCGTCAAATTCCGTAAAGGCGGGCACATAACCCCAGCCAACAAGAGCATGGTCCGAGCCAGGAAGGAGTTGGACCGACCCCTGGCTCCCCACGAGCCGGTGGTCGGGATGCACGTATTCTCGCACAAGGCTGGCTGTCATCTTCTCGACGTCCAACGAGATCACCAATCCCCGACTATACTCCGCATTCTTAGACCGACTGTCATATTTTCCATTATCGAAGAGTGTAAGGATGTTGTTCTCATGCATCCTCGCATGGTGCTGGAACGAAAAGTTGGTCGCCCTTCCCATGGAAAGGTCTGTAAATTGGTTCTTCTTCCCGCCCAAGATCCAGAGTATGTCACCATGGGGGTTGATGCATGTAACAGTGTGCATGTAGCGTGAGGAGACATAGTAATTCCCCGACTCCTCATCCTTGTCGACACTGTTGATGTGGAAGAAGTCCCACGCCGTATGAGGGCTTTCACCGATATGCGCGATTTTGTGGCCCGAGGAGTCTGGACGCCGTGCTTCGGCCTCGATGGTGTGAAATGTGTCTTCGATGTCATAGTGCTGTGAAGCCCGCCACTCGAAAACCACCTCACCTGTCCCAATGTCTATCTCCTGGAAAATGCTGTCGTAGATCCAGCCCTGCCCAGCAATGCCAAACGCTGAAAGATTGGCAGAGGTCGGCTCATAAACCGTCATCAATGCTGTGCCATTGCGCGTAATTTTGAACTCATGCAAGTCTCCACCCAGGCCGATGGTCGGTTTCACCCTCTTATATACTTGATACGACGAGTCCAGCATCAAGTAAGAGCCTGTTCCGAAAGTCCCTGTGTCCGACCCTGTCCAGAATGTCAAGTAGTTTTGTCCACGATACTGTTGGACTTTAAAATCCATCGCTTGTCCATACTTGTCCTCCACCCAAACCAACTCTCCTCGCGAGTCCATGATCAAGGGCCCTGGTGAGGATACCATGTGTCCACGGGGCGACATGAACGTCGACCCAGAATGGCCGCAGCGTTTGTCCCATTGCACAAAATTCAACTGAGGAGCTGTTTGTGGACACGATTTGTATGATTGCTGCGGGTATCGCCCCAAAAGACCCCAGTCGTATAACAGAGAGGGATAAATCCGGTGGTCGGATGATCGTGATTGCGCCTTGTCCGGAAAATTGCAAAGAAGGACGAACAGGATGTGCTGATAGAGAAATAGAAACTCCCACATCCTGTCTGCTTTGCTAAAGGCAATACTGTCAACTAGCAAACCACAACAGTGCTCTGCAGAAATGGAGGCAGGATGGAAACACCGGGGAACCCGTTTTGAATGCGTTCATGGAAACATGTCTCGCATTGGAGAGAAATTCCAACTATAGAGGTCAATCAACTATGCACTGTCCCGTGCACCCCACATATATACAAAACAGGTATGTCGTGGTGTCTCGTCCGCGGGCCAGATGAAAAGCTGCAAACCCGGGATCAATCTCCAGCGGATGGGTATTCGTTATGAATTCCATCACTCAACAATAGCTCAGCTTTATGCATTGCCGAGAGTTGACAAGATACGTCATGTTCTATAGTTGAGCTCAACTGCGCTGTGGCGACGGTGGACCCTGCTGTCGCTGAACGATGGAGGCGATGCATAATGTGACAGGGCAAAGACAGTGAAAAGACGTCTTCCAAGTCCATCCAAGCATTTAGCGCTCGCTCTAGCATAGCAGAGGCGGGACGATGGCGGAGGCAAAGGATAGGTTCTCCTAATGTTGTTTGCAAAAGTGTCGCGTGCCTGGGTACTCATTCCGACTGTCGAGAAGCTGTGGGTGGACCTGGATGGAGACGAGTTGGAAGCATTTCCTTGAACGGAGGTCTTGGCTCACAGCGAAAGGGCCCGTTCTTCGCTTAGTTCCGAGCACATCGTCAAACCCTCGCCGATCAACGTCCCGAAGCATCCGTACCTCCCGAGCTCAAAGATAAGGCACTGTCTTGTGTGTTTCTGAGCAGTTGGGTGAGGTTAACAAAGAGACATCGAGTTCGCGCATTCGGAACTACAACAAGTTCTCCGGATGAAGGAACAGGGATCCACAACGCATATAACGACAGCGGAACATGGTGCTTGTAACGCCCAAGCATTCGAGGGATGCCGACTTGTCGGCAACGACAACCTTTGCGCTCTGGGCCAATGTCACTGCCGTTGCTTAGTACCAGTTATGCCCAGCCTCTCCGCGCTTTTCCTTGTTTGGATTCATCGAAACGATCTTCTGACCGGGTATCTGATCCACTGTGAACTGTGATTCAAATACTCCCGAGATCGCACGTTTTCCGAGTGCCGCAAATGAGTCGAATTCTACTTCCCCGTTGCAAGCTGCCCATTCCAGGCTTTTGGGCGAAGATCCATCCCCAAGATCGCTCCATCTAGTTACGACAATGGCATGTTTGAATAGTTTCAACGGATCGCTTTTGTCCTCTTGCATCCTCAATTCGATGAGATATTCTGTGGGGCATTCGGGACACCGTCGCATGGGACGACACTCAGAACACAGGGTGATAAGCGGACTGGGTCGGTGCATATGATATTGCACCTTTGCTGCAGCACCTGCGATGCCACCTCCATCCGGGGGTTTGGGTATGTGGCTCAAAGCACATTTGACAGCAGACATGAGATTGCCATCCCTCCAATGCGCGCATACCGAAAAGTATGGATGAAAATTGTCGCCGTGGGAGTAAAGAAGCCTCCGCAGCCCTGCCGGAGGGAGAGCAGGCGTGGCAAATGCCGAGCTGATCACCCTGACAAGCAGGTGGCCGTTGACTATGGTGTAACGAGTCTGGTGTGACCACTCTCCGTCCCGATCCTTGTATCGTCGTGACATTGAGTCGATGTGAATACCGTGCTCCTTTGAGTATTTTTGTGCTCGCAGAAGGAGTTGGACGAATGGGAAGGGTAATGAGCGACCAACGGTGATTCTCTGCCGCGACACCTTGTTCTCGGCATTGTAGGCATTGGGACAGTTGAATATCGGATTTGAGATGTTGGTGGGTCGCAGAACCTCTTGTCCTTTCTGAGTTCGGACGTGGTATATCACACATTGGAAGCACAGTAAGTGTTCCGGTAGCTGTTGATCCAGACATTCAAGAAACTTGGCTTTGGCGTCACGATTTTCCGGCGCATTCAAGGTTGTCCATGCTTCGACCCCAATCAAGTTTCGGAATGGCTTGCAGGAAAGGGCAAGGCTTGCTCTATCCGCTGGATCCAAGAGCTCTACGACTCTCTTCCAGATGGCGTCTGGGAGTTTGGCCAGGAAATCCGTTGCGGGTTGGGATGGGATTCCAGCAAACAGGAGTTGTACCTTTTCAGCAAGAGATTCTTCTGAGTCACGATGTGCTAAGCTATGCAGCATTTCCGTATGGTCCTTTCGCTCGCCAGTCTGAGCATCTCTTTCCCACTCGTCGGCAACACTGATGGCCGGGAAAGAAGCTTGTCGCCGTGATCGAGACTGTTCGAGACTGTTCTTCTTGGACCCCGCCCTGGAACTTCTGGCCGAATCGGCAGGACTTGCGGTCTTTCTGAGACGGGTGGTTGAGCTTGCCGATTTGTGGTCAAACTTGACATCGTTGAATCTCAGGTCGGAGATTGAAGCATCCCTTGAGCTCGATCGACTACTAGATCTTGACTTGAAAGGGTTGAAGAAGCCGAGCGAGCCTTTTCTTGGTACTGCTTCGGTCATTTCGAGGGAACAAGATCTTCAAGCCCTGGTGGCCTGAGTGCGCAAAGTAGATGGTGACTAGGACGTGAAGGCTAGCCTATTCAGAAGTACCATGTGGTATATGGCGAGAAGACCTCGGAGAGCGGCAGCGACAAGGCTGGAATGTACGGAGGTCAGTAGAAAGCTGTACCAAGCACATATAGTCCATGAGGGGATGGTTATATGGGCTTCGAGTGTAGCGAAGAAAAAAGAACTGCATTCCCGTTTGCGGAAATCATTAAGGAAAAGAGGAGGGCAGCGGATGCTGACTACTTGACCGGCAGCTGAGTGATCCAATGAAGAGAGAAGACGGCGAGAGTGAAGACGCAGTCTGTCGTCGACCTCCGCTGGAAGCCGCCGCAGTTTCAATCTGTCCAGTCAGACACGAGCAAAATGTTACATAATCAGTGGTTGATGTTCCACGTCAATGTGTGAGTCTGGGTTGATGAGCAGGTACAAAGCAAACCGTCGAATAAGCGAACCGATATGCTTCAGTCAACAGGGTTGATGCCAGAGCTCAAAGCAAAGGGCTGAGGTGGCATGGACAAGGATTAAGCAATCCGAGCAGATCATCAGGATAGGCAAACGCAAAGTCAGAAATCACATGCGGCACCTGAGAAGACTGCAGGCAATTTCCTGGAGTGACCGAATAATTTAAGAGAGACGCAGGATATTTAGCTAGTCATACAATCCAGAGGGAGTCAAATGGTGACAGCATAGCAAGTGGCGTTGGCAACAGGTGGAAGCGATATAATTTAATAATTGCCATCCAGCCGCTCAATTTGTAAACATCCATCGACGCTTCTCGAAGTCGAGTCACCGCGCGTCACTTTGTGCCTTGCGTTCTTTGAGCCCAACTTCATCATGGCTTCTTCCCACGCCCGACTTCCTTCTACGAGGTCATTTTTACATGTCAACAGTTCGAAACTATGTCTTCACAAACGGAGTCCCTGAAATGGTCGGCTCAACTCGTTGTTGCCCCTCCAAATCGTCGTCTGGCGGGCGACAAGATCACCTTGCCACAATCTGCCCTCGAAGCCTTGCTGGCTGCCGCACCTGTCGTATCGATCCCGGATCCTGCCAACAGGAACCTGACCTCCTCCTTTGACCCCTTTAATCCCTATTCTTTCGCCGCTGAGCGCCGTGCTCGTGCAGCCTTCGGAAACCAACAGCAGCAACTCCCTCACCCTCTCACATTCCGCATTGTCAATCCTCGCAATGGTAGAGCGGTGTTTGCTGGTATCCGGGAATTCTCCGCTGCTGAAGGGACCGTTGGACTGAGCAGCGGTCTGCAAGAAGCTCTGGGTATACAAAGCGCAGCGTCGTCTGCCTCCACCACCCGCGAAAGTACTCCGAGCGAGGATGTGATCATGACCAATGGCACAAATACTCCTAGAGGACCGACCGTCACCATACAGGCGAAGCAATTGGAAAAAGGCACTTATGTGAAGCTGAGACCGCTAGAAGCAGGATATGACCCTGAAGATTGGAAATCGCTGCTCGAACGTTACCTACGGGACAACTTCACTACCTTGACTCGTGGCGAACTGCTTGTGGTCCCCGGCGCGCGTCATGAGAAATTCCGTTTCTTGGTGGATAAATTCGAACCAGACGAGGATGGAGTGTGCATTGTTGACACAGATCTTGAGGTGGATATTGAGCCTCTGAACGAAGAGCAGGCACGCGAGACATTGAATAAAAGCCTCGCAAAGAAAAAGCCAGTGCACGAATCACAAGACGGCAATTCCATCGGAGGACTGCTGAGTCTGGATTCCGAGGTAGCGGGGAAAGTGCTGCCAGGACACTACGTCGACTATGAACTGAAAGACTGGGATCGAAAACAAGATCTGGAGGTGACATTGCAGGCTGAGGATGACAATGCCACTCTCAATCTTCTCGTGAGTCCCTTTTCCTCACATCAACGGTCAAAGCCTCGAGAGGACGAATACGTGTTCGGCGATTTGGGCACACGACCAACAAAGCGGCTCAAACTCTCCCACACGAGTGTCGACCTCGAAAACGCAGAGTACTTGAGCATTGCTGTTCACGCTTGGAGGGACCAGAACGACGACCCTGAGGACTCGGAACCCCCAATCTCATACAGTCTCAAAATCAAGGCAGGCACTGGGCAATTCGAAACCATGGAGACTTCTCCTCCAGAGCTCTCTCCAGATGAGGTACTATGCAAAAACTGTCACCAAGTGGTTCCCAAACGGACACTTCCGCTACACGAAGCATTCTGCTACAGAAATAACGTTCTTTGTCCAAACTGTTCAGGCGTGTTTCTGAAGAACTCGGATGCGTGGAAAAATCACTGGCACTGTCCTCATGACGAGGAACATGGCAACGATTTGGTCTCCCGTCAGAAACACGAATCTATCTCTCACCCACAGACCCCATTACAATGTCCAAATTGCGAATTTCAAGCTTTTGATCTTCCGATCTTAGCTCATCATCGGACGACGACCTGTCCGGGAAAGGAGATCCTCTGCCAATTTTGCCATCTAGTCGTCCCCCAACAAGGCCCTGAGGATGCTTCGTTCACAGACCCCGAGGTGCTGATGTCGGGGCTTACTCCTCATGAGCTCGCCGACGGTGCACGCACAACCGAATGTCATCTCTGCAATAAGATCGTTCGGTTACGAGACATGAAGACACACCTATTACTCCATGATCGGGAAAGGTTCTCCAGACCGAAGCCGAGACTTTGCTCTAACCAGATATGTGGTCGGACCATTAAACCCGAGGATGAGCCAAGGGTGCAAAAAGAGCAGCTTGGCCTGTGTAACGAGTGTTTTGGCCCGTTATACGTTACGAACTACGATCCCGAAGGGAAGATGCTGAGGCGAAGAATTGAACGACGACTGTTGCAGCAGCTAATGGGAGGCTGCGGCAAGCCTTGGTGTGGCAATGCAGACTGCAAGACAGGTCACAAGCATCTCAAAGGCGAGGACAGAGTTGTATCTGCCAAGGACGGTTTAGCTATGGTGAAACCTATCATCGACGATATCTCTCGTGGCGTTACGTCGTCCATGGTCTTCTGCGTCGATGAAGCTAGCCAGTCACGGCGGAACCTCGCAGCAATGTTGGCCGGCGAAGGCAACTACGAGTTGGCATGGTGTGTCAAAGCATTGGAAGAGGCGAAGGGAGACCTGGACCGAGCGAGAGACTGGCTTAAACACCGAGCTCCTCATATTGGCGAGGTTCTTTCGTGAAGCCAAGACGCTGACATGACATTTGGCTGCAGCCACGCCGAGGCATTACTCAGCAATCTAAAAATTCACCATTTGAGCCACGACCAGAACTCTCTCTACTGTCTGGGAAGGTCGTAAATGCATCTTACCGACTGGTCTACATGGAATTCGCCGAATCTTTGGCCAGGAGGAGTCATTGGTCTAGCAACCTCGGGCGCCGGAGCATGTTGCTTATCATTTCGAGTTTGTCAGAACGAGTGCATCGGACTCACCTAAGTTGTTTGGACACAGCCTTCTTTGCTTAACGCATTTAAGTAGCCAAGAAGAGCGAGACTGCAACCCCAGAGGCCAGCTATAGGAGTCTTAGGGCTGGAAGCGTCGCCTTGACACCTGAGCTGCCAGTCGTCACCAAGGCTATCTCAAGATCGGTAGGCGCTATTTGCTATACCCAACGCCATGCGACGCTCTGGCGGCCCCCACCAAACAGATACGTCCCGTGTCTTGGCTGTTACATCTAGTCACTATTCAGGAGATGGTACGCTTTCTCATTGCATTCAAGTCCCAAAATATGGGGAAATGGACAAAGTTTTTAGTCAGCTGGACTACCTAGTGGCACCAGTGGTATTAGGGCTGAACGCACTGCTCAGCGACATAGCCGCCTATACTCGCCAAGTCTGTCAGTCGAGGCATCTTGTCCAAGGTCTATACCTCGTTCTCGAGCGGTGAAGGGGTAGAATCTCTGGAAAGAGATTGGTCGCATCTCTCAAGGTTCACATTCCAGCATCACCCTCGGCAAGCAGGCGCGGTAGGCCGGAGTAGTCTTGGAGACATATAATGGCCATGGGAAGAAACAATGGCTCGTGTTGCTGAAGACACGCCACCACAACGAACCAAGTCAAAGGCTATCTGTACAGGCTCGCCTTCTAAAATGCCTGTTGCAGCCTATCGAGGTACATTTCACTTCGTCAATAAAGACGCCTCTAACCTGAACAAAAGGAATGCAGAAGAGGCCTTTTCAATCAGTTCTCATGTCACAAACAAATACTATCGCTGGGCTAAAAGCAATCTACATGACGCCAGTCTCAGCAATGCCATTTTTCCAAATGCGAATCGACGAGACGCGGACAGTGACCGCCACGTCGGCGAGGAGCCTTCTATACAAATGATATGCTGGCAACTCGGATCAGCCACCAGCACCTCCAGACATGACGCTGCTAATCGTCGCAGCTCGCCTGAACCTACCGACCACATGTACTCAGAGAGTGAGAGCGATGACGAGTATTTCAGACCAGAACTCTGGCCCGAGAGATTGGCCCGAGAGGAGACACCAACGCTACCACGGCAAGCCGACTGGGATGCCCCTGACTGGGCAGCATGCCCTCATTTTCAAAAGGAGGCACTAGAAATCTATCGTAACTTCTTCCTCTCCTTCAGCGGCATGGGTCCGCCTGGCAATTTCTCGCGCCAGTCCATGCAGCTTGGTTGGCGGAAGAGGGCAAACAAGCTCGTCACCGATAAGAAATGTCTGCACGGCTGGTATGCCAGCGTGCTGACGCTCAAGGCCCATTTCATGCAACCCGAATGTTACCAATTTCTCTTTCCGATGGCTCTGAAGCATCAGAACAGGAGCCTGATGTTGCTTCGAGAACACATACGCCAAGACACACAACCCTCGGAGAGCCTGATCATGTGTATATGGTGTGTCGCGAACACGGCATTCTATTCCGGCAACCTGGAAGCAAACGCCGCCCACGCGTTGGCTATGTGGGAGATTGTCGACAGCCTGGGCGGAGTCGACAAGCTCAGTCCTGATATTCAGGCCCAAGTCATTTTAGCGGACAACGGTCATTCCAGGTTCACGCTCACGAGACCACACCTCGATCGCACACGCTTCGATCCTGGATCCTTTCGAGCACAATCTGAATTTGCGGAATGCGGCCCCTTGCTGTCCGAGGCTGAATTTCAACGTTGGGATGAAACATTCCTGCTGCCCAACGACGAAATATCGGCCAACCTGGAAAGCTATGTTCATATGCACCGAGAATTCATGGCTGCACAGGGTCTGATCAGCAGGAGCCTCTTTGAGGGAAAGGGTGAGCAGGCAATCAACACCATGCTCAGCTGGATTTACCGTCGCCGTGCCGCGTTGAGCTCATGGACGATGAGCCTGTATTGCGACATAGCCGAGACCATCACGCCACGCACGCGTATCTCCCGCGCCGTACGTCGACAGTTGCAAGCATGCATTTGTCTAGCTGTGTCCTATGCAATGTCCTTTGTCTATGGCTTCACGCTTCCGCTGCGGAAATGGTTGCTCTACATTCCCATGCAACATCTGCGGCCGCAGCTTGAAATATTACTGAGCTACATGGCAAAGCGAGGGACACTACCAGCGACAAGAGCAAACTCATCCTCTATGTCGTCTTTTTCGTCGGCTCCTCTTGCCATTTCTCACCACGAATCCCTACTCTTCCTCTTCTTTGTAGGCGCCTGCGCAGAACAAGTCTCGGATGAAGCGGGCAAGAGGCCAGAGCTGCTCATTGACAGGAAATGGCACTCTACTCGATTTTGCGAGATGTCTCGAGTCTTGGGCTTAAGAACGTGGAAGGAAGCGCAGAGGATTCTCAAGAGGTTTGTCTATGGAGATGGACGTGTGATGGATCGGTTTGTGGAAGGGCTGTTTGAGCAGAGAGCTGAGCTGTGTCGGGGCGGGAGCGTTTTTGGGTAGGCAGTAGTGAGATTTGGTGTAGGTCGATGACATTGACGTGCATCAGTAACATACTTGATCATTTAGCTGTGTGGGATAATGAGCTAGCATGCCACGTTGTAATCATATCTGATTGAGTAAGCCCAGTCCTCCCCAATCCTCCTACTCCCAGGCCTAAGAGGGGCTACCATTCCAGGCCTCTCAGCCTCGTCAGGTCGCAATCCAGCATTCTCGCGCAGATGTTCTGGGCATCCGATTCACCACCACGGCTATCCGTGTTCGCTGAACCACCATCAGCATAGACCGTCTTCGTCCCCAGACCCTGGGCTGGTGGCCTGGCGGCCCAGATCTCCCCACCGGCCGCCTCCTCCAATTTGATCTGCTCCTTGAGGACGTTAAGGACCATGCTCTGGAAGGCCAGCACGCCTTCCTCGTGGAAAGGGTGCAAAGGACCCGTCTGGAAGATGCCGCGTTCGAGGTTCCTCTGTACCTTTTCACAGAGGCCAAAGTCCTCGTCGACGACCTTTTTATAGAAGTTGGTCATGCGCTCGTGCGCCTCGGGCGTCGCATGTGGTGTGTTGAGCCTGTACACGTCGTATTCCTGCCGCGTTGTGGTTGGTGAGATCGGGAGGCTGCGCATCAGGTGCATGAACCCCGTGCCTGGGTTGGGGCTGAAATGGCCACCCGGCCACACGTGAGTGGCCGACCTGCCCGCAAACCGCGTCGTGTCGAAGGCCGAGGTGGCGAGGATGGACGCCTTGGGCTCGCTGAAGTGCGAGATGTAGTGGTGCGGCGTGGCCGGGGAGACGTAGTATGTGTCTAGGGCGGTGGTTCGAGCAACGTCTGGATGTGCCGTAAGGCAATGGTAGCACTTTGAATTTCCTCGTGGATCAGCACCCCAAGGAACAAAATTGGCGGGGAATCACATTTCATTCAAGGGGGGCTAGGTGATGAATGGCAACAAGTACCTCGTACCTCGTTGTAATTGTCCTGCATGATCTTCCAGTTGAATTTCCCTTCTTTGGCCCATGTGAAATCGTACTCGACTGCGTCCCAGTCCACGCCCGAGTTCTCGAGGACTCCCTGGCGGTCCAGGTCGCCAAACTGCTCTGCCCACGAGATCTCGGGCGTCGGACGCGCATCCAGGTTGACGTAGACGAAGCCATTTCTGTCGACGTGGGTGTGGATGGGAAAGAGGCGGATGTCCGCAGCGTCGAAGTCAGGCACCGACTCGGGCGTGAAACGCGGGGCTTTGGTCAGTTTGCCGTTCAGCGTGTACGTCCATCCGTGGTATTTGCAGGCGAAGATTTGGGCCGTGCCGCTGGTTTCCTGCACGATGGGAAAGGCACGGTGTCTGGATCCTGAGTTTTCTCATCGTCCCGAAAAAGATGGAAGGAGAGGAAGAGAGACGGTCGAGAACAAAACCCACCTGCACATATTATGGAATCCCACTATGTCTCCTTGCTTGGCCTTGATAACGACAAAGTTGAAGCCGGCCATTTCGTACTGCACGTAGTCGCCGACATGGCGGTATCGAGCTTTGTGCGAGACCAGAAACCATCGCTTGGAGAAGATGGCACGCCTCTCGAGCTGGTAGATGGCTGGCAAGTGATAGAACCCGTCGGGCAATGACGAGCCAACATCGGTCGAGATGGTCTTTTGCGACAATCCTTTGATATGGAGTTGATGGACGACATGCGCCGCAGCTCTTGTTTGGTCATGGCTACCATCGCCGTCATCGACCATAGGCGCCGGCATATTGCTGGAGGCGCCTTATCTCTGATGCACTCGCCTACCTACAGTATAACATGGCCATCATTATAACGACTTGGGAGATGTACGAATAGCCCACGGTCAATGGTAGAAGGTGATGCCTTTGCCCGTCCAGGCAGTTGAGCTGCCAGCTGCTTCTCCATCCAGCTGCCTCAACAGGAGTAAGTATCCCCTTATCAATCCTCCAACCCACGGAACAAGGGGAAAGTCACTGCGCCTCAGCCCTTTCAGCCCTGCCAGCCATCCGCGCTCACGGACTTGACGTCGCTATTGACGCCTCACTTTCTCCTGAACAGCAGAGGTGCCTCAGGCCCTCGGGCCCACGTCGAACAGAAGAAAAATCCCAAATGGACCACATGCAGCACCCGCCCTCCAATCCAAAAAAGAAGAAAGCAAGAAAAACAAGAAGAGAAAAATCCAACCTGCGCCGCGCGCGACTGGCTCAGCCAAACTGCGGTCGTTTCCGAGGGTCGCCAAGGGCATCGCAAAACCCGCGTTTGTCCTTCGCGGGGTTTTGACTGCCTCATTCCATCCCAAAGGGTCGGTGTTCTCTCGCGCGCAGTCTTCTGTGTACGTGTGTATTCCCATTCTGGGCGGTCTCGTTCTCCTCAGCCCTTTGTTTGATGGCACCTTCAAGATGAGTCTACGAATATCGACGCTCGATCCGAACGAGCCCCGAGCACTCAAAGGTCAGTCGCCAACAGTATTAGAATGCCGAGGTTCCATCCAGTCCGTGTGTACAAATTACTTGGTCTGGTGGTGCGATATGATACGAGAGACTAACTCATGGACGATGTCCCTTTACAGATTGTCGAACCTGTAATAGGCGCCGGATCCGATGCGACCGATCACTGCCCACGTGTAAGAAATGCGCCCTCAAGGACCTGACCTGTCCTGGATACGGCCTGAGGATTCAGTTTGGGCAGGGAGTGGCAAGTCGAGGCAAACTCACGGGCAAAACGCTGCCTGTCCTGGAACCAGCTCCTCCTCCTCCTCAGCCGCCACCGCCTGCGTCCTACACCAAGGATAGCCCCAAAAGAGCGGCCCCTGGCGAGTTCTTGGATTCACGAGATGATGGCCTCGACTCTTTCTTGCTGGCAGGGAACGAGCCAATCACTGTGCCACCCGCTCTCCGCGACGCATTCCAACCCAGCTTCGACGAGACCACTCTCCACAATCCCTTTGCGCTAAATCTCGATCCGTCATCGTATACGCTGCCTCCGTATCTTCAAGGTAGGCCGGTTAGACAGCTGGTCCTCTATTACGACCATGTGGTGGCTACGGTCATGCCCTGGGTCGATGGACCGGAGAATCCGTGGCGGACGGTGATGATTCCTCTTGCCATGCGTTCGCCTTCGCTGCTTCTGGCCCTCCTAGCACTGTCCTCTGGGCACTATAGTACCAGGTCACAATCACCTTGGCCCGGGGACTATGACTTTGGGTCCAGCAGATACCGCGACCAAAGTTTGCGACTCCTTGCCGAAGACCTGCGAACAGAGCTCGCAGAAGAAGCGAGTGTGGATCGTCACGCTCGAGCCAGCGGCATATTAGCCACCATTCTGGTTCTCTGCAACCTAGAGATGATCCGAAGCGACTCGGAAACGTGGAGTGTCCATTGGAAAGCTGCTAGGACAATAACTCAGCGCTGGACGGACCCTAACCTTACAGCCACGGATCTCGATGAGACATGTCGCTTTCTGGTCAAAGAAGCCTTTGTCTACGACGTCTTTGGCTCATCCACCACGTTCGACGCTGACGGCCAGATCCCCGGCACGGTTTTGACCGAAGCGGACGCGCACGTCTTTACGGATTGGCTGCAGCTGGTCCAAGAAGTAACGTGCGCTGAAAGACGGCGCCATCACAATGCGTCGCCCAGCCAAGTGCCGCCAGACCTGGCAAATATGCGCATCCTGCAAGACAGGTTCGATTACGCACGAAATCGAACTCTGGAGTTCAGCAAGAGTCTTGAATTTGGCACACCGGGGTTGAATAGCGACTTTGTAGTACTGGTTGATATTTTTCACTACGCTGGGCTTGCATATAGCTTCCAGGCTCTCCTGGATCCCCAGGACTTTGCTCCCGTCATAGAAACCTGCATCAGCGGAGTCATGACGAAAATCGCCGAAATCCAGAACAAGGAGGCGTACCAGCACGACCTGGTATGGCCGTTGTTTGTCGTCGGAACACAAAGCAGGCTGAACAAGAACACACAAGCGTTTGCCGATGCAAAGCTCCTTGAGGTGATGCAGTCGACTGGCTTCTCCAATTGCTACCCAGCGCTCGAGTTTCTCCGGCGCTTTTGGAGGAGCGATCCCCATGTTGTGGTTGACTGGATGCAATTTGCCCGACAGGAAGCAAGCCAAGGTCTGAATTTCCTAGTCATATGAGCCTCGAGGCGGGACTTTGATGAGGAGAGAAAGTTCATCGAACATGCTGTTGAGTGGAATGTCTGGCAATCCTGGAAGAATCAGGTGTCCGTCAATCACATATCGACCGTCTCTTCGTCCTCGACACCAAAGAGAACCCGCATTGGGTCTTGGTACTCCATGAAGCCTAGAGCAGGACGGCTGATTCCATATCCCAGCAGTCTTTGTGCCTGGGGAGATAACCGCTTCGCCTTCTCAGGCGGCACCATCAGGAACTGATTCTCCGCCGGGCGGTAATAGGGCTTGCATAAGAAGATACCCACGGTCTCGCGAGACTGATCCCTATTCCGCTCGTTAGCCACGGAACTTGTGACGAGCTGCAGGAGTACTATGGACTTACTTGGTGATATTGGCGCCTCCGGCATGGTAAAGATTACCGACGAAGATGAAAGCATCCCCGGGTTCCAATTCGGCGGGAATTGCCTCGTGGTCATAAGGACAGCGATCGGGACCCCAGAGATGTGAACCAGGGATGGCGATGGTTGCCCCATTCTCCGCCGTGGTCTTTGTCAACGCTGTCACGCAACCCAGCATCATGGGCATGTCACAGTTGCGAGTGTGATAATCACTGCCTCAAGAGTCAGCTATGGTTTGAGAGATTCGAGAGCAGACGCGGCTCACCCGTCATCGCGGTGCAGGGCTTGCTGCCTTCCACCAGGGTTTACTCGGAACCCGACAGTTGAGGATATAATGGGTTTGGCATATACCGTCTCTTTCTGCTGTCCATTCCAGTACGTATACGTCGACGAGACCATCCTGTTGGCCACGTCGATATATGTGGGATTCGTTGCCAATTCAACGCAGCCATCGGACCGCGCCAGGAGGCCGGTAGCTCTCTGTGTCGTATGGGGGAAGAAACCCGAAGGATCAACCTTGTCTGTGTCGAAGTAGGGCTTCAGCTCGGTCTTGATTCGTGTAGCCAGTTCCTTTGAGATGAGATTCTCCACAATGACACCGCCATCACGTTCAATGATTGACACGAGGAGATCTGTCGTCGTGGCTGGATCGTTGGCATCACAGCGTGCAAGTGTCGGTTTAGCCAGCGGCGCATTCGATACCTCCGTGGGCTTCTTGGACACCACAGGCGTCTGAGCCACATCCTCAACAGCGATGGGCGCCATGGTACCTGTATGGAGAGCCCTTGTAAGAGCGGTAGAGCTGATGAATGGACAGGAGTAACCGGGCTTTGATACAGCAGTGACTGCGGACAGACTTCGCAACGTCTTTCCAGCAACAGGGCGCAGAATTGATAGCATCAACCCAAAGACAAGGGGCTTACTTCGCCCTCAACTTGCGGCGCCCTCTAGGATATTTATATATATACACCGAGCATAGTCGCATGTTACGACGTTGGGAAAAGGTTCGACTTCTCCTGTCTCCTGCCCAGGTTGGAACAGCGACAAGGCTAGCCTCTGAGGCCGTGGACTTCCCGGCCAGACTCCACGCTCCACGTCGTCTCTGCAAAGATGGGACTATTCGTACAGAAATGTCCCAAGATAGCAGGTGACTTGAGAACGGAAGTCTTAACTCCCCTTCCGCCTCCCGAGTCCCGGGCTGGGGAATTTCCGCTGGGTAAGCAGAGAGACACAAGATAGGTTGCCAGGGAATGCAATACCTCAACAGGCTGGTAGATGGAGACCTTTGGGGGGAATATCGACGCCTATCTTGAAGACATTGGTTTGAGTTCTCTTGGGCTGAGGAGATCTACTGTTGTTCTTATCCAATTCGACGACTCTTCCATTCGATCGAATTACACACGGCTTCAGGGAAACTTCGGTAGGGGAGGGACTTCTCCATCGACCAGCCTCATCGGGCAAGGGACGTATAAACCGGGGCCGACCCTTGCCCACAATTCAAGCCTGGTCTTACTCGGTTATGTCCTTTATGTACCTACCACGCTGGTACCTTACGCAGCAAACGCCAGCCAAAGACCGCACAGTGACCGCTGTTCCCTTCTGTACGAACGATGGGTCACCGGACCGACGAGGGGATCTCCAGGCTCTGCGTTGTCAGTCAAGGTTCAATGGATAACTCGACTCTCGTACCGAATGGGCTTTATGGTCCTTCAGGACAAGAGAGACTGTCAGCAACAATAGGGTGCCTTTTGGCTCAGAACCAAATCTCAAGCTATCGAACTCCAGACTAACCAATGCGGCTCGTCCCATATCCTATACAGATTATGGAGAGCCACAATCAAAGTTTCACCAGAAAAGAAGGTCCATGCCAGATCTAGTCCTGCGATAAGGAAGGCAGGTCGTAGTGTGGGACACACTCCTTTTACCGAGTGTCTATCATCAGCTATACACACACTGAAAGACGTGTGTTTCGCCTCCTCCCTCAGCCGTGGGCTATCTCGCCAATCCAGCATGCACAGCGCCTGATATGTCCCCCTCGGTCTACGATAGTGTGCATGATAAGCGTGCTACATGCCCAATGGATATCAGGATCGGGATAACGAATCCTCAAGCCACATGGCTGTCGCAAGGGTAACTGCTATTGTTCATCGACTAACCTAGCGAAGAGGGGGAGAGAAAACATACCCTGTCTTTAGTGACTTGCACTTCCTCCGCAGGAGAAGGCTTGTTTAACTTGATATCGACTCCTCTCTGATTTCAAATGGTTTCTATCTGGTCTTTTCCTTCGCCACGGTGAGTCCCGTTCGCAGCACTCGTCTCTGTCTTTGCCTGTCCTCAGAGAGTGGTTGGTCTTCGCCCCTCTCACCTCCTCACTCACCCGTTCAACATGAAGGACGAGACGATCGAGTATGTGGCGGAGGATCTGGACGCGACAACCACGCTGGAGGAGGCCAAATCTATCAACAGCGATGATGCCCTGCTCATGTCCATGGGCAAGAAACCCGAGTTGCGACGGGTTTACAATTTCTGGACGTGTGAGTGTCTTTCCGATGGCACTGCGTATGTACTTTTGCTGACAACCGATCATAGTATGCTCGTACCAGATCATGATATCGTGCAGCTGGTCGTGTCTGGTGGTCCTTTACTCGACCATCTTCGACGTTGGAGGCCCGTTTGCTCTGATCTGGGGCACGTAAGTAGCATCGAGTCTTTCTCCTGGACTATTGCGGCATTGTGTCTTTGACAATTGATATTCAGGCTTTTCGTCGCTGTAGGCCAGACTCTCCTTATGATGTCCTTGGCTGAATACTGCACCATCTGGCCGACAGCAGGGGGCCAGCAATATTACGTCCAGGCCGTGGCAACCGGCAAGCTTCGTCCCATCTTGTCGTACCTCGTGGGCTGGGCAGTCATTGTCGGTGAAATCAGCACGGGATCGAGCTGTGCGATCAACAGTGCTCAAATCATTGCGTCGTTTGTCGAGGTCACACATCCGGATTTCGCATGGAAGGTTCGTACCAATCAATACAACAATTTCCAAGTGAGACTGGACACTGACAGATACCCCGGGCAGCCCTGGATGACATGGATCATCTATACGGGATTTCTCATCGGTCCCATCGTCATGAACTTGAAGCAGTCGTACGTATATCTTTCTTGCTGATTTTCCATCACTCTTCTTCTCTTCCTACCTCGATACCCCTAGGCGGAATGGTCCCTTTTGCTGATATCAACTACACACAGATGGCTTCCGGGAATGAACATGGTTGGCGCCATCTGGACCATCGCTGGCGGTGTCGCGTGGGCCATTGTCTTTGGCGTCATGGCGCCCAAGCACGACGCCAAGTTCATCTTTACAAAGTTCATCAACAACTCGGGCTATACCAGTGCTGGCTGGGTCTTTATCATGTCCTTCTACTCTCCCATGTATGGCTTATACGGCACCGATGGGATGATGCACCTTGTATGTGCCCCATTCTGTGGGGGTGTTGAGGAGTAATATGCTGATATGGACGATACACAGGTTGAAGAGATGAGAAATGCTTCGAGGGATGCTCCGGTGGGTTCTATCTTTCTCGAAGGATATGTTTGTTACCGCAATGCTAACCCTGCCCCAGCGCGTGATGGTCTGGTCCATGATTTTCTGCAGCATCACCAGCTGGCTCGCCGCGCTCTTGATGCTTTGGACGGCTGGCAACTGGGAAGAGTACATGCTCGGTATGCCTGTTCCCTACGTACTGTCCTCGCTCCCACGTCGTCCTGTTCTAACACTTGGTTCTCCACCTAGCATCCCAGCCCTACATGAACTGGTGGATGGACATCTGCAACAGCGTGTACGGCGGCGGCGTCTTCTGCGCGCTGGTCATGATGGGCCTCAACTTCTTCATCATCGTCGGCACCAACAATGCCGGTTCCCGCCTCGCCTGGAGCATGGCTCGCGACAAGGCGTTCCCTTACTCCGACTACTTTGCCCATGTGAGCGAGAGGTTCCACATTCCCCTGAGGGCCATGATTGCCATCTTGGTCGTGGATCTGGTGATTGGTACGTTGCTCTTGTTTTTGCCATCTCCGTGTCAATTGCTGCGACACGTCGGTGGTACTAAGTGTGATGTCTTGGTGGAGGAAGTGATCGATGCTGACCAGAGAGTTGAATACAGGTCTTATTGTGCTGGGTAGCGATCTGGCTTTTCAGTCGATCATTTCTGGCGGAGGCGTCACTTTGCAGATTGGCTATGTGACGCCTGTTATTGTGGTGCGTGTGATCCCTCTCCCTGGTTTTTTTTCTCCCTGGTCTTTTTTCTCCCTGGTCTTTTTTCTCCCTGGTCTTTTTTCTCCCTGGTCTTTTTTCTCCCATGGTCGTCCTTCTCGTCTGCCGCACTCAACGCGCTGTCATATACGTTTCTACAACCCTATCCTCCCTTCTGCCTATCGATACCCTCACCAAAGCAGACCGACCCTCGTCTTCCTGACCCTCTGACCCTCTGTTTCCTTGTCCTACTCTTGCTTGGCTGGTGCCCGTGTTGACCACTGCTACAGGTCCTCGTGCGCGGGCGCAAAATCCTCCCCCCACGACCACACTTCGACCTCGGCCGATGGGGGTACGCGGTCAACATCGTGTCGGTGTGCTGGTCGCTGCTCATCATCGTCATGTACCTGTGCCCGCTGTACGTGCCCGTCACGATCCCCACCATCGACTACATGAACTGGTCGTGCCTGATCGTCGGCGCCACCATCCTTTTCCCCGGCATCTACTGGGTCTGGCGCGCCCGGTTCCGATACATCCGCGACGGCAACTCCGTGCTCGAGGATAATCTCGTGTGGATCGACGGCGTGGCTGTCGCGGGCGCGGACGCGTTGGGTGGGCGTGGCCGTCATGGGGGCAAGGGGTCGTGATAATGTACGTGTAAAGCGGTGGGAGGTATGGAAATATGGTCACGACTGGGACAAAGGAGACTGTATAGGTTGCGGGCAAGAAGGTATAGAGTCGATAATACAGCATCTCTCTATATACCACCTCCAGTAAAAGAATGAAACACGATCCGTGGATTCTATGCCGAAAGACAATTCGTACGAGGTATATGTAAGACTTCTATTGCTGCGATCTAAATCCTAGGAGGGCGATACCGTGTGTCCTGTGATACCACAAAATAAACCGCTGTTTCTTTCAGATAGCCCGTCTATCCATAGCCCTAATCGATGGTGAATGAAGAGAACAGAAACGCCCGCCCACTCGTATACTTGGAGAACTCCAGTCGGACCGGAACAAAGACGGGTATATCGATCCGCAGCCAGAACCAGCTCGAACGGTTCATCATGACAACAAAACTCCGACGCTCAAAGTCAAGATCGAGACAAAGGACAGCATGTCGGTGCCCGCTCCAAATCTAATCGCTCCATTACTGCTGGTCGTGGCTGTAGCCGTGGCGTTTGCCGTGTCGATCGTGGCACTGGCCGCTGTGTTTACCGCCGAGGGCTTGGGCTGGTCGGACAAGTCGAGGCCCAGGAACAAGGTCTGCGCGCAGAGTTTCGGCAGGCTCTCGGCAAACGCGAGCTGCTGGTCCCCAGGGCAGCCCAGGACGCAGCCGATCAACGGGTCGTCCGAGGGGGAGTAGCTTTCACATTTGCATTCGTCGAGGGCGGATCCCGTCTCGGTGCCGTTGCAGTGGTTGACGGTCGGGTAGGTGCTGACGCAGTTGTCGGCGCACTGGCCGAATTGGGTGCTCGATTGGGCACGGACGAGAAAAGGGAGGAGGAGAGAGGTGGAGAGGAGGAGCAAGGAAAGGAAGTCACTTAAGTTGGAGCGCATCCTCGTCTCTCCTCTTCCAAGCCAAGAAAAGGGGTTATGTCTGAATAGGCTTTCCTGCAAGAGAGGAAACCACAGGTTTCTTGAGATTGAAGATGGGTCCCTGAACAAGAGGAGAATATGAGAGGAAAATATAATATGAAAGAGCCGCAGAGGGCGGAAAATAGAGACACGTCCGTGTTTCTTGGGTTCTGACCCGGGTTGGGCCTGATCCCAAATTAGGAACCCACAAGGCTGGGGGCGGGCGGTGCGTGCTCAGCTCGCTCGCTAACCAAGGCTGACTGACCGGGATCGGTCCTCGGACTGCGACTGAGTGCGTGGCCTATACGACCCTACTTCGTACGAGGTACACTTAGTAGAGACCTTGAGGATCGGACCGCCGCTGGTATTGTAGTGGCTCGAGTCGACATCAAATGCGAGGTACCAGTGAGCGGGTGGGTGACGGTTGATCTCTTCTTTACCCCCTGTGGTGCATGTGAAAGAGGCTCAAGAGCGCGGCGAGACGGTTGACTGCGGTATACTTTCTGGGTGTAGCAGTATGTGCGCAGGTTGCCATTGAGAGGGAGAATACCTCTGTTGCGCCTGAGAAGTTCAGAGACAGGACATCGACGCAGCATACAGAAAAGACATGGCCTGGTAAGAGGTTGATAAAAGAGGGAGTTGTGCTTCGTTTTTGTGGTTGGCGGGCACAGCGGAAACGCGGGTAAAAAAACGCGACGTCATTGTTGCGACTGGGCGAGAATTGTTCAAGGCAGCTTTCCACACTGTACATCCAGATTGACATCTTGTCTTCGTGTTCTCCTTTCGTCAAGTTCTGTATGGGTCAGTGATTGCGAGGCACTCTGCTTTCCGTCTTTGATGCGCTCCTTTTACCTCTTTGGCCGCTTTTGTGGCCAAAGGGATTTCCTGGTCTTTCGATTCACGAGCCGCGTCCGCATCTTGCACCGTCAACAGCCCTTCAGCAAATGGACCAGAAAATACAGCCTCAAGGACCCCCGACAGCGGCGCACCCCGTCCCTTCTAGCCGCTGCAGTCGCTCTTTCTCCGGCAGCCTTTATTCAGCTCGGGGAAGAAAATGAAGGTGGCAAGACGCGAGAGATCAAAATGCTGGAGGTGTCCAGGGAGGAGATCAGTAAAAAGGTTCCCGACGACGCCTATGGTCTCCGCCGACTCTACAAGACCGTCATCTATGTCCTCGACCAGTGGATATACGAGCCTCTTGCCACGAGCCTGCGCTTCTTTCATCTGCTCGTCATCTTTGTCCCCGTCATTGTCGCCATCCCCGCTGCGTTCTTGGGTCCAAGGAGAAAAGATCACGATAACGAAAGAGTCGGGACAATATGGTGGTATGGGTTTCTTGTGAACGCCATGGAAAGAGCAGGCCCTGCTTTCATCAAACTTGGTCAATGGGCTGCGTCTAGGAGCGACATCTTCCCCGCTGAGATGTGCAGACAGATGTCGGAGCTGCATTCCAATGCGCCCGCTCATTCTCTCCGTCATACTATCAAGACCATATCTGAGGCATTTGGCGGGAGGTCATTCAACGAAATCTTCGAGGAATTTGACGAGAAGCCTCTCGGTGTCGGTGCCATTGCCCAAGTCTACAAGGCCAGGCTCAAGCCAGACCTCGCCAAGCCAGACGATAGCGACCTCGAGGCCATAGACAAACACAGATTGAGGGATCGAATCAGGAGGAATGTAGACGCCCTTGTCAAGTCAAGCCCACAAAGGGTCCCTTCAGCTTATGTCGCTATCAAGGTCCTGCATCCAAAAGTCGAACGCAATGTTCGGCGAGATCTCAAGATCATGGGTGTCTTTGCCGCAATCATCAATGCTATCCCAACTCTCGAGTGGCTTGATCTCCCGAACGAAGTCCACAACTTCGGCGAGATGATGAGGCTGCAGTTGGATCTCCGGATAGAGGCCGCAAACCTGACCATCCTTCGGAAACACTTCCAGCATCGAACTACAGCATGGTTCCCCTTTCCATATACTGATTTTACCACTCGCACTGTCCTCGTCGAGGAGTTTGCCCAGGGCCTTCCACTTGCAGCTTTTCTAGAATCCGGAGGTGGCGCGTTCCAGAAGGACATTGCAAACGAAGGACTCGATGCATTCTTACACATGCTTCTGATAGACAATTTTGTTCATGCCGATCTTCATCCCGGCAACATCATGGTCAACTTCTACAAGCCAGTCCATCCTGACATGGGACTTGATGTCAAGTTACCCACCTATATGTCTCGACAAGACGCATCACAGCCAGCGACAGCTTCCGAGATCGACGAGTCCGAGGCAGTTCTGTCGCGGCTACGTCCATATATTGGGCAAAAGAGGGAATGGCTGGCTGCTCTGGACCAGCTTGACAAGGAGGGGTACATACCACAACTGATCTTCATCGACACAGGCCTCGTGACGGAACTCAACGCGAAGAATAGAGCCAATTTCCTGGATCTTTTCCGTGCCGTCGCCGAATTCGACGGCTACAAGGCTGGGCATCTGATGATTGAGCGTTGTCGTCAGCCTGATGCCGTTATTGATGGTGAAGTGTTTGCCCTCAAGATGCAGCATCTCGTCCTGGCCGTCAAGGGCCAAACCTTTGCCCTGGGCAATATTAAAATTGGTGACGTTCTTTCTTCAGTCCTCGGAATGGTGCGGGCCCATCACGTCAGGATGGAAGGCGACTTTGTGAATGTGGTCATCTCAATTCTGCTTTTGGAGGGTATTGGAAGGGCGCTGGATCCCGACCTCGATCTTTTCCAGAGCGCCCTGCCCATCCTGCGACAAATCGGATCTTCCGACCCTGGAGCCGTGCTCAAGAGCTTCAAGGAGGGCGACTTCTCCTTACTGAAGATCTGGGTGGGCCTCGAAGCACGAAGATTTTTCCAGGCCAGCGCGGAAAGTGTCGAGATGTGTGTCAAGTACGACTTACTCAGCCCCAACGTGTGAGCAGAAAGCCGCAAGCAAGCTTCGAGCGGCAATGTCTACCTTCGATCCAACATTTTGCCCAAGTCAACACACCAAAACTCTACTCAACCCACGCTGTATAGCTCCTCTTACCCCCAAATCTCGGCGATACCAACTGGCATCTGGTGCCGACTGGCACACGGATACTCTCCTTCTAGGCATTCTAGGCGCAAGAAAGACGACTCAGTGCCGGGAGGAGGCAAATCTCGTTCGGCAATTGTGTATCCGAGCTGCAACTCACGAGACAAAGATGACTCTCGCTGTAATCATAGTGGACTGATTGGGCCCTTTTTCTCTGGCTCGGTCGTTGACTGAAGATCCAGAGTCAAGTCAAGAGATTGCTCAGGTAAATGAGCTGTGGAAAGGCGACAAGGCGAGCCAAAGCGACGGCGTCTGCTTGTCCCAGGTCAACCCCCCGGTTGAGCTGAAGGATGTTCTATACATAACCACGAGCCCCTGGTATATACTGACTCGCAGACCACGCCCCCACGGCTCCTGTCGCTCTGGCATGCACCGAGGTGGGCTGATATCCGGTCTAGACACTGCCGACCGAGGGTCGCCCAGCCATCCATATTTCGAGGCGCTGGATGGGAATTACCTCGTACAGGACGACACGAGCACTGGCTGTCGAGGATTCGCACTAACAATTAGGCTAATGTATTCTCTAAGCAGGATCCGAATGAAGCAGGGCTGCTCAACAGCATCTATAGGCTTTGGCATGCAGCAAAGGAGAACTCTCGGTCCACGGGATCAGGGTGTTGGTCGACTGGGAATTGTCTCTTTCCATAAGCTGCAGGATTCTTCATCTAGGCATAGCCGTGTCTTCACATGCCATGGCCATGCCAAAAGGTCGTTCGAACCGCTGTATCGAGGAGATTACTCACCTCAGCCCAACATTAGCCACCCAGGTGCAATGCGACGCGTCTCGGCATGAGGGTGACAAGTCTCCGGGACTTCATATCGGTAATTGTCCTTGTGGATTCTGTATCTATATCTATATCTACAATCACGTTTAGGGGAGTCGCTCCAACAAGGTTTGACGCCGTCGCAAGACACTCCGCCACGGGAATTACAATATGGCCGTTCTAAACGTCTCCCGCGATATAGTTTTGGGGGGGAAATTCTCTCCCCCATGGAGTCTTCTCAGCTTTGTGGGGGGAAGAGAGTCAAGGCCACCAGGGCCACAGTCTACCCGGGGACGGACACGGATCGGTTACGGTGCTCAGACCGCGTTACCCAAGCTCAGCAATTACCAGAAAGGACGCTTGGTCCGGGGGATTTTCCTGCCATGTACGAAATGGAATGGCCCCACGGCTATTTCCCCCTCTTTGCTTCCTGGGGCTTTGGAGCTTTGGGGGAGGCGGGTGGCTTTTTCCTTGGGCGGAGATCGAGCCCATGGCCACCCAACCATACCGCAACAGTGACCCTTCCAAGAAGATCGTTCCATGCAGAGACCCTGCTTCTGTTGCATCAGATGAATACGAGCCCATCAGAGAGAGCTTGGCTCCCATCGGCATGCCACCGGTGCTTCTCCTGTCAAGCTCTGTTGCCCAGCAGTGGTCATATCTTGACAAAAGTCCACAACGTCAGCCCAGGCCTGGGCTACACCCGCCCTGACTTCAAACACTCAGAGCCACCAGTCCTAACAGGTAGGTGCAAGGATCACCAGTGGTCGAGACGCAGCCCCCTCATGGCATGATCATCCCCACGATTGCTCATCTCTGCGTGGCAACACGACGGGACTTCGCTTCCACGAGCCTGGGGAGGATGACCGCGTGCCATGATGAAGTCAGTGCCGGTCCCTTAAAGGCATGATGATCCTGCAACCTCGCACCTCCGTTCTCCTCCTTCTTCTTCCAGCACCCCGGTGTATTCTAACTCGTCGCATTGATACCGTCGTCCAACATGGGTGATATCAAGTCAGGAGGTGCTGGTGTGATCCTTGACCACGATGTCCTTGGGGAGAAGGCTGGCCTTGCTCATGAGGAGGCTATGCATTTTGGTGCCCTCACCGAGGAGGAGCTTGCCATTGAGAAGAAACTTGTTCGCAAGATTGATCTCCTCATCATGCCCTTGATTGTGCTGGTCTACTTGATGAACTACATTGATCGGTACGTCCATCACACGAACATTGTTGTCGAACCAAGGTGGAGCTAACCGGAAGTTCAGGAACAACTATGCCGCCGCTCGGTTGCAAGGTCTGGAGGAGGACTTGGGATTGCACGGCGATCAGTATCAAACTGGTAAAGTGAACTCTTTGTCGACCCTTTGGAGACTCCCTAATATCTTGTGCCAGGTCTTTCCATTCTCTTCGTCAGCTACATCCTGGCTCAAGTACCCTCCAACCTCCTGCTCAACCACTTCGGTCGTCCTTCTCTATACCTGGGCTTCTTTACAGTTGCCTGGGGTCTCGTGTCTGCATTGACCTGCCTCGTCAAGAGCTATGGCGGAATTATCGCCTGTCGATTCATGCTTGGCCTGGTCGAGGCCCCTTTCTTCCCTGGTACAAGGCCTTCCTCTCACAATGCTCGAGCAGAACGAATGCTAATTACTGCAGGCGTGCTCTTCTACCTCTCCAAGTGGTACACCAAGAAGGAGTTGAACCTACGAATGTCCATCTTCTATTCCGGATCGCTCATCAGCGGCGCATTCGGTAACCTTATCGCTGCTGGCATTCTCAGTGGGCTGGCGGGTGAAATGGGCATGTCGGCATGGTGAGTTCAGCTTTGCGCGCCGTCCTCTCGTGGCTGTCTATTCGTTGTTCTGACCCCCCTCTTAGGCAATGGCTCTATATCATCGAAGGGTCCATCACATGTTTCATCGGCTTGGTCATTATGCTCGTCCTCCCCGACTTTCCGAGTACCTGGAAACGCCTTCCCCCGGAGATGAAAAATGTGGCCAACCGCCGCCTCGCCATTGAAGCCGCCGAGGCCGACGTTGACGACGAAGGCGGAATGTCGCAGTGGAAAGGCTTCAAACTCGCCATGACAGACTCCAAGACGTACATGCTCGCCATTGCCTACATGTGCATTACTGGAGCTGCTGGATTCCAGAACTTCTTTCCCACGCTCACCGCCACTCTCGGCTATAATCACATCATCTCACTGCTTCTCTGCGCGCCGCCCTATGTCTTCATGGTCTTCTACTCCTTCGCGCATTCGGTTGTGTCAGACCGCATGGGAAATCGCTTCTGGTTCTTCATGTATCCGATCCCCATCACCATCGTCGGCTGGATCATCTTCATGACCACCGACTCGTTTGGACCACGCTACTTCAGCTTGTTCCTGATGATCTTCATCTTTGCCATGAACGGCACCTGTTACGCATGGATTGCCTCGGCCATCCCTCGGCCACCAGCCAAGCGCGCCGCGGCGTACGCCTTCATCAACTCGATCGGCAACTCGGCCTCGATCTGGACACCCTTCACGTACCGCGACCAGGACAAGCCGTACTACCGTCTCGCGCTCGGCATCAACATTGGCCTGCAAGCCGTGGCTGCAATCATGGGTATCAGCATGCGCATCAAGCTGACCCGACAGAACAAGCGGTTGGAGAGAATGGAGAACGAGGACACCCCCTTGACGGAGCGTGATCTGCAGAAACTGAGAAGAACGGCCGAGATCGAGGGCATCGATCTGGCCGCCGCGAGACGGCTGCAGAAGGGCTACCGGTACATGATCTGAGAAGATTCCGAAGGACTTTTGAGAAGGGGGGCTTGGGAATCTCTCTTCGTCCTTTCCCCCTTCGCCCTCCTTTTCTTTCTCTCCCTCTCCTCCTCAGAATTTCTCTACTCGTGTCTCCCTCCTTCCTAGCCGGGCAAATCTGGACTGCATATATATGTTATGGGTAGCTCGATTGGGTCGATCGACACAGCACAGCACAGCACAGCCGAAAGGGATGAGCGGTGTGGATTTGAGGGGAGGAGGAGAAGAAGCAGAAAGGAAAGGATGACAAATGACACCACCTACCCATGTACCCACGTATGTATGTACAAGTAAGCGTAATGGGGACAAGATTGACATGTCCTACGAGATTCCAAACCAAGGTCGATCCAAGCCAAACCAAACCAAACCTAACCAAGCCAATGAATATAATGGGAATGGGAGTGGATGGATGGGTGGATGATGTGATGTCTCTCCGATGTGCGTGTATATGTCTCTCTTCTTGATCCCCTGACCAAAAGTGGAAGAAGATAGAAAGATTGGCCGAATTCGCAAGACCGTGTGTGTTGGGGGCCGCATATTTCTCAAGACGCAGGTATCTGACCGAGATGTGCCGAAATGTTTCATACACACATGCAGGCGTCAAACACGTGTCCACTACACCGCTGCGACAAAGTCAAGGCTGCCTCGAGAAGAACTTCTAGCAGACTGTCTTTCAACAAATGTCTCATTTCCTGTTTGAAAGCCCCCCAGCCATATATACTTATTTACCCACTCCCTCCGCCGCACACAGAGTCGCGAGACTCACCCCAACTATATATGTATATATATGTGTGTATGTGCGCGTGGCTTTTTATATTCCTTGCCGCATTTCTTCAGACACAGAGAGAAAAATCCTAGGTATCCTGCTGGTGCTTGGAATACCACCCCGTACGTCTGGAACCTCAGCTGTGGCCGAGAGGATACCAATATGGTTCTAGCACACGCGCTTCCCACAAATCGAAATATTCTTTTCCTCGCAGAACAAACCCCAAACCAGAGGATAGCCGGCCCATAGTCATATTCCGTGAAATTCGGAAGGTAGTTGAACAAAGAAAACGTTCCAAGTCGTCGGCTAACACAGAAGAGAGAAAGACAACTAAATTCCCGTTTCATCCATCGCAAGTTACATTTCGAAATCCCATCAAATAGTTCAATCGTGAAGAATACAGGTGGGTTGTGGCTTTTCGAGTACTGGAATTGCGCGTATGAAGAGCAGGTTCGCACACACATGTTGGTGTTCGATGGTAAAAGAGATATATGACTGGAAGAAACACAAAGATCGGTGAAGAGTAAGTTATCACGAGGACCAGCGACGCATGTTCGACATCAGAACATGCCGCCATCTTGATGAATGCTTAGAGACGTAGCGCTGCGGTTAGGAAACACAGGCATCGCGGGACTCCGAAGCCTCTCGTGGCCAAATTCAGACATCATGGCCTGGTTTCTGGCCCGAGCTGCCATGCTTCCGCCTTCGCTGCTGATCTTGCGCAGGCGATTCCGTGCGCGTGGAGGGGGCTTTTGGTGCACCTGATGCTGTTGATCGAGATAAGCACGCTGCGCGGCAGACATTGGCGAAGCCCCGCCACGACCTGGAGAATCTGGCATAGGTGGCATCTGGGATGCAGGCATCCGCGGACTGGGGTATCCGTCAGGTCGCTCAGTCATGGTATTACCACGGCGCCGTGGGTTCATAGATGGAATGGGTGGGCTTGCAATTTGACTTGGCCTTGGTCCATTGGGCAAACCAACCAAGGGCACCGAAGACGTGCTGGAAATGAATGTTGGTTCCGAGATCATCCCCTTGGTTACGGATTTCTTGCGGCTTCCCACTGGGGTGGATCGCCCTTCAACCGGGGTGAAGCGTCCTGAAGTGGGTGGTTGCGGTAAAGGCCCCGCTGGAGATGGTAGAGCAGAGGCCACCCCAGAGGCTGGACCATTCGGGAGGCCGGGCGAAATTCCGGGAGGAGATGTAAAAGGACTCATGGGCGAGTGCGGGAAGGGGGGCCGAGGAGATGGTCTTGGTGCTCCCACTGGCATCGGTCCTGGCCCAAGTTGTGGAGTTCCACCCAGTGTCGGCGTAGCTGAACGCCCTTCCAAAAAGCCGGCTGGCACGGGGCGAGGGGCGCTTGGTCGTCGATTTGACATGGCTGATGCAGATCTCTCATAGTTTCGTGGATCAACGGGAGGAGGACCTCGCGGCGGCATGCGGGGAGCATGATGGCCAGGATATCCGTGAGGCCCATCAAATGGACCGTGAGGACGCTGTTGCTGCTCTCCTCGGTTTAATGGTAGGTGAGGCGGACCTGGTCTGCCATATTCCCCTGGCGGATAGGGCTGATCGTCTCTATACCGACCAGTCCGACTTCTCGACCTCTCGGCAGCCTCGGACTCGGCTCGATCACGTCTCACTCTCCCGGTGGGTGTCGCAGAGCGTTGGTAGCGTCGCTCGGGATCTTCCATCAAGTTCGGAGGGTAGGGCCCTTGCCCTGGCCCAGGTCCAGGCCGCGAGAATCCAGGAGTGCGTCTGCCACTCGGGGGGTCAAACTCGGCTGGTCTCTGTCTGGGGGTGGGTCGTTGCTCAACCTCGTCATATCCTTGTTCGAACTCAAAGTCACCTCTTGCTCCCATGTTTGGTGATCGTCCCATAGGCTCTGGTTTTTGGCCAACTCCAATCCCGAGCATCTTCATAGCTTTTGGTTGAGGTTCATTGACTCTGGGTCCAAGGGACGTTTTACTGGTCTTGTGTCGGAGAGCATGTAAGGCCTGCGCGGCGGGATTGTGGCGATCCTGACTTCGAGACCGTTTCTCGGCTTCTGCGACTCCTTTCAGACCTTCTTGAATTCTCCTTGCGCGTTCAGCTAGCTCATTCCCAAATTCTTTCTGCGTCTCCGTGCTTTCTCCTCGCTGGTGATGAGAGGCCGCATCGTATGGTCGCCAAGGTCTGTTTGCAGGGTGTTGATGTTCTCCCGACCCCGGGGCATCATCACCTAGGATCTGTTGTGTTTTGCTCGAAGCTTGGTTCCTATGAGATATTGCCTGCCCCAGTATCTGTTGTGCTTTCTGAGACATGGCAGGAATAGCATCATTCTGCACCGGCTCAAGTGGACTCCGTACAGTACGATGAGCATTATCAAATTCCCATGGATCACTATGGGTACTCTCCGGAGGGTTGGTTGTACGAGCGGTGGAGGCAATTGATGGCTCTCTGTCGCGGAGAGACGAGGCATAATAACCCGGTTGAGTAGACGCTGCAGATGGCCGCCTCTGACGTTCAGGGCTTCGATAATTGCCCGCTGGAACCGAGACAATGGAGGGCTCGCGATCACGAAGGGTGTTGAGTGAAAAGTTGGATCCATACGGATGCTGTCCTGGCGATGGTGGTACTATGGATGATCTGTCACTGTCTTGCCTCAAGTGAGTCCTGATCAAACCACTCAGGCCTAATCCCGTAGTTGGGCCAAAAGTTGGGGAATCCCTGCTCTTCGTGTGGGAGGAACGGTGAAGTGAATCCGACGTATCCGGAGTATCGTGCGTCATGGAGGGTGAAGAAGTATCCGCCGATATGTTCGAATCCGGTCGACCAGGCTGGATAATTGCCGAGATCTGTTCGCCAAAGTCAAAAGCTTGTGACTCGTCCCTTAGGGCCGGGTGGACATCCATCGGAGCAAGCCTCGGTGCTGGCTCGTACCGGCCCAGCATAGGGCTGTCAGCGTCATCGTCATCACTGCCGTCGAAAGTGTCGAAAAAGGTTCCCCTGGATGCCGCAGGCTGCTCTCTGAGCGACCTAGGAGGTTGTGACAACCCCTGGGGAATGCTTGGCTCAGCCGCTGTAGATTTCTGTGGTTTGAGTGACGAGTATTCCTCATTCTGGCGCCTGATCAGTGCTTCCACTTGGGCCTGGATCTGTGCTGGATTGATAGAGGAAGCAGTTGATTGTGCTCTTGATCGACCAGTGACCGAAGTGCTGCCGGATTCTCGACCGCGGAAACTTTTCATTGGAGAAGTTGGAATGGTGGGGAGAACAACTCGCCCAGGCACGTTCTGCCGCTCTGCAATCCCGCCATTGTCGGGAGCGTCGGAGTTGGGTGGTGATATTCTGCCTTCGTGCATTTGCAACTGTCGCTCTTGGAATTTGGCCTCGTCAAATTGTTGCTGCGGACGGTTGAACAGCCCCATGGCAGTGGCCTTGCCACGATCGTTCGGCTGAAGACTTTGTTTGTAGATTGACCCATCGTCTTCGTCGTTCGTTGGAGACGCAGTCTGATACCTACGTGGATGGTTAGGGGGGCTTTTGAGGCCAAAGTCGAGCGAAGCCAGTGCCTGTGATTGGACGGCTGGTGGTGGACTCGCATCGCGGAAGGCGCTTGTCGAGAATGGAGAAGCGCTCTGAGCATACTTGTCCGCAAGGTTGCTGACACTGCTTGATTGAAATAGTTGACGACTATTCGACGGAGACGTGGGTAATGGAGGCTGAGCCTGGTTGTCCAACCCTGAAAATCCTTTCCGAGAATCGGCAGAAAAGTTGCGCTTCAGTAGGTTCTCTTCGCTGTCATATTCCGAACCGTGCATGCGGTTGTTGGAGCCAGCGCTCGTGTTGCTTTGCCTAGGATGTGGTGTGTCCGACACGACCGAGGTAGCGGCCGTAGAGGTGCGCCGGTTTGAAGGGCCTGAAGCGGTCGATGATGTTGTGCCCCTGCTCTTGCTAAATCCTGTTGAAGGAGTGTTAATGATACTGGTCCGGTCAGGCTCTTCAGCTCCTGCACTAGCGGATCTCTCGCGGGATTCCTCGCGCTCCTGCTCCTCCCGAGCCTTGAGGCGCATCTGTTGATATGGGGACAGAATAACATCATTCTGGTAAACATGTCTTCCAGCTGTCAATGGTAGATGGGCTTCTGTCAAATCTTTGGACGAGCCTGATCCATTGGCCGTCGGGATCCGGTACATCTTCTGCCGACCGCCAAAAAGATTATTGCCGTCTA